CTTTAATTGTATTTCGCTATTCTCGTCCAACCAGATTACACACGTAGTTATTCAAAATATATATATATAATAATTTTCATAGAACCGCTTTTTATTCCAGAAATTTAGTAGAAATCACAACATATTCGATTATTTTGAATATCACTAATATAACATTCCTATTAGGTATATAGAAAAAATGTCCCAGCATGAGGACTATAACACTAACTACTAATTATTATTTATTAGCATGAAATCTAAGAAATTTAATTAACTTTGCAGAGGTCTGTTATAGAACCTAGCAAATATCTCGGACTTTTTCGTCCAACCTGCTAAATTCTTCTTCTTCTCAACGTTCATTCCCGCTCTAGCAGCCGCTGACGTTGTTACACGTCTGACACTGTGGCTTTTGAATTGGTCAGTATTTATACCACTATTTTTCATTACATTTCTTATCCACCGGCTCATAGACTGCGGAGATGCTTTATGAATAGGATTCCGATAGGTTAAAATTAGGTATTCTTCGTTACCCCTAATTGGTTGAGTTATCTCCAAATACCTAATTAATGGTTTTACAATCCATAAATCAGGACGATCGATAAATAAACCCAATTTCAAAACTGGTTGCTGACGATTATAATTTGATGTCTTTAACATATCGGTAATATAAATATTTATACCATTTTCCCTATGTACAACATTTTTTAACTTTAATTTTAGAGATACTTTGTATTCGATGCCCAGAAGCCAATATTAACAACGTTATCAACTTTTTTACCAACTTTTCTAGTGACAATGTTTCTAATGAGTACCATTTTTCAATGTAATCTAATACTACTGTGGGATCCCAGGTAGCATTATATCTGGGAAAACTAGGTTCTACCCGAAAAGCACCTCACATTTTAAAAAGCGCTTAATTAATAGCTCATCTGTAGATGAAACGTTCCAAACTAGCGATAAGGCAGATTTATGATCATTTAAAGTATAATAAGAAATATTTTTCTCAAAAAGACCACTTAAAAAGGAAATAATATGACCAACACTTGCGACGAACGGTTTTAGTCTATTCTTCTTACAGTAGACCCACCATTTGCGGAGAGTACCACTATATTGCCTTAAGGTAGATGCACTTAATGATTTAATCATTAATGGTATAACTTCTTCAGGAACTTCTTTTTCTATAAAAGCTCCCCTGATAATATCGACGCCGCTTGGGATATGCTCTTCCAAAACGGATGGATAAGTTTTTATTGGGCTTACAAATTAAGGGTTTTGTTAGTGAAAGTCTCAGAAACAAGTATAATAAATGCATCTGATGTCAAGGCTCCTGGATCTTTCAATCATGAAATATATGTATTACATTTAGCATTTACCCTACAAGCAAACAAATCAATATTGAGTTTACCAAATTCTTTACTATTTTAGAGAAGTTCTTGCGAGTATTCCATCTCAATATATGAAATTCTAGATCGTTTATCTGCAATTGTATTGTCTTTGGAAGGAATATATGAAGCATATAGCATTATTTTTCGTTTTTCACACCGTAGCCGTATTTGCCTACTTAAATTACTCAACTACACAAATTGAATGCCTCCTATTTTATTTATATAATCTATGGCAGTTTTGTTATCTACACGCAGAAGAATGTTACAGTCTGCAATGCGCAATAAAGAACTAAAAGTTCGAGAAAATGAATGTGATGTTTCATATTTTCTTGATTCCAAAACCATCGGTAACATCTGTATTACATGCAGCCCCCCATCCCGTTTTGGAAGCGTCTGTATATATTTCGTAAGTATATTCCTTACTGCTCAACTCATTAAAAGATTTGTTGATTGTTTGTTTCCACCACAATAATTCCCTACAAATAATCCTTGACAACTATAATTTTTTAATTATAACTTCTAAATCTCTTTAGACCCAAAAATTTTTCTTGCTCTAACCTCTTAATATGCAACCATCCGTATTGTACAACCTGACAAGCTGAAACTAACAATCCAATAATACTTGACAACTCTCTTATTTTACATGTTCTCTTTCTAATGAAAGTATCTATTCCATTTAAAATTGCTTGTTTTTTATATTTGGGAAGATAAAATGTCATATTCTGACTGTTGTAAACATACCCTAAATATTTGCAAACTTGTCCCGGTTCAATTTTTGATTTTTTAAAGTTTATTAAAAACCCTAGTTTTTGCAAGGTGGATGAAACTATCTATAGCTATACTCTTATCAACCTCACTTTTAGTTTTTCCTAACAGTAAAATATCATCCAAGTAAATTATACCCAGGATCCCGACTTGCCTAAAATAATTAAATATTGGTTTCAAAATCTTAGTGAAAACATAAGGTGCCGTGGATAAACCCATAGGCAAGCTATTAAATTCAAATAGTTTTTCTGCAAATTGAAATCTAAGAAATTTCTTATCTTTGTTATAAGAAATTAAATCTTCAACAGATTTATAATTTCAAGAACCTATTTATGTTCTTTATATATACTATTCAAACGCTTTGTTTTGTCAGCTTTTGGTATAAGAAAGTAGGAGGATAAAATTTGGTTCTCTATTGGTTGACACTGACTGATTACTCCCTTATTCACTAAATCTAATATGCCAGCGGAATAGTGTCTTATCTCATCTTCCTGCATTTTCTTTGGAAAATAACCATATTGAAAAGGATTTCTCATAAATTGGATCTTATATCCCTTGACCCACGATAAAATGGGCTTATCCTGAGTAAATTGCAGCCAATTTTCCATATAATATTTTATTCTGCCACTATACATACTAGTACGCTTGTTTGATGTGGCGATCCGTCTCTTGATCCCGGACTCTTCCTTGAGAACGGCCTTTCATTTTTCTTTTGTGGTAGTTGGGCTGGTACTTTAAAGATACCGAAGATCTCGGCATGGAATCACCTCTGAAGTACCTATCGGGAAAAACCTTACTTGAGGTAGATGGCAGCTGTCTTGACAAAGATCGATTGGCATTCATTTCCTTCCCTGTTCTCCATTGGGCCTTAACCTCTTGGAATTTATCGGCAAAATTTTTACCTCACAAAAATTCGTCTGGTTAACTCAGTCTGACGATTTTCTTCACTAAAGACTTTAAGTGTCCTTCTACGTGATATTTCCGGTTTGTCCCACACCCACATGAATAGAAGAAATATATTTGTCTCCTTTTTTGACAAGATTGCCTAAAGATGCTTCCAATTCTGGGTTCAACAAAGGGGCTCGTAATAAAAGAATATTTTCGGGAATCAGGTATTTTCTGTCCAACTCCTCCTTTTCCGATTTCTCTGAACCTAACGTCAAGTACTTGGTCCAACGATCAGGTAGAGCTTTGTGAACCGCACTTCCAAATACCAGCTCACTTCCCGATGTAATTTCGCCCCAGGAGTATGAGGATTTCCTGCTTTTCATCCTGGGATTGTTCTTCAATTACTGGGGGAGACCTCTCTGCCTCATTGATTATGATTTCTGGCTCTAAATGTGTGGATGCTTGACCAGTACTATACGCACTGCTTATATTTCCTGAGGAATCAGAATCCAAGCTGGATTCACCTAAAAATGTTTATTCATCATTTACTTGCGCACGCAATATCATTTATATATTTTATGTGAAATATGTCATGGGTTTAACGGTTCTACCCAATATTTATAGATCTTCCATGTTTGTGAAACTGCGAAGGGCTTTAATGGTTCTTGCCAGTCACTATTACATTGGGCTTAACGGTTCTACCTAATAATAATTTACTAGTGCTCTTACGCCTTTCACATCGTTGACTTTTCTTGTCAATTTTCTCTAAATTCCTAATAAGTTTTCGCCGTTTTCTCTCCAATCTTTCACTTACAGTAATTGATTTTCTTTTCAGCATTTCGCTAAATTTGCTCGCAAAATAATTATACCGATCCGCACTCGACGAAGCACTACAGTGTAATTATTCATATGCCTGGCTCAGTGACACGCAAAAAGATAGTTATTTAGTTTTTGTATGAGTTAACTTTACAATGTGCTCGACAAAGCATCATGGTGTTACTACGTGTGTAATCTAATTGGACGATTTAGCGAAATAAAATTACCGCTATAGATACTTTTTGCCTGCAAGAACATTGTAAAGATACTTATCTGAGCTTTCCAACATTGAAAATGATGAAGTGCTCGCAAGGAAAACTAGGTATGGCTTGTTTAATTCTCTTCGGGGTGATAATATATGTTACTACAATAAAAATATGCATAAAAAGTGAACGAACGCGCAATACTTTGACCGTATTCGCAGTAATTATTCCAATATATGCAGTGATATTTAAACCGTATTTTCGTCATGGTTATTTATTTTTTATACTTGACTCGCCACGATGGCCTAAGGCCTAAACACCTCTAAAGGGGGATACAATCCCGCTCGATTTGAAAAATACAGCTATGATTTTTTTCTTACCAAATCAGGATTTTCTGATAGCTACGGGTGTGTCCTCATCATCAAAGATCCAAACTTTGGTTTTATACTCGGTCGGCACATCGTAATAAAAGAGCCAAGTCTCGTAACCAGTCACGATGCTGTTCACATACCGAGATTGCCCCTTATCAAACATTTTCGGCATATTTCGCCCTTATCTCAGTACGTGACCACGATGCCATAGTCGGCACTTTACACTGTTGATACGAATGTTCAACTAGCGACTAGGTAGCTGGTCTTGGATTGCGTTTTTTTTAAAACAGTCTGCGGTACCCGCCTGTGCAAAATCAGTAACGGCTTAACATTATCTATTTAATGTAGTACAAGAGTTTCTTAGAAATATTTCATTCTAAGCCTCTGAACCTCTAAAAAAACACACGATTCATTCTAGATTCTGGATTTTGTTCATGTTCAAGAAATTCCATAGAATCACATTCAACGATCATCCTGTATATCCATGTGAATCTCTCTATGTGCGATACACCGACGTGACTGCACCATTAGCCAACCTCTTTGTCTCTATCTCTTTCACCTATTGTCCTATCTCTCTCTGAACCCTGCACTAGGTCTAGTCTAACCCTAGACGATACCGAGGACTCGAGTCAACTAGCATGGCATGATCAGTTTCGTAGGTAAGTGATGTAAGGTGCCTGAAAGCTCTGTAGTATTATTTACTGTAGCATTGGCTCATTCAGGACTTAAATCCATTCATTGGTATATTTTCATGTAAAATTAGCTAACATTCATACACACTCATGTATACTGATTTATTCTTTCAAAGTCTGTTCGGTAAAGACTATCTCACACCAAATTCGTCGATGCGATAGCATCTACAGGGTGTTCTAAAAACATGAGTCTTTCGTATACATATAGATCATAAAAAATAATGCCAAACTCTTATGAAAAATGCCCTACAGGAATCCCCTACGAAGATACTTGCCCCTAAAGGACAAAATAATTTAACGAAATGTTACTAACCAATTGAAGCCTTACCTCATTGTGATTGCCATGACGGCCCTAACGTAATATTGCTGACGTTTGTTATATCCTGCAATTTAATTATTTACCATGAACACAATTATGTGAGGCCATCATGACTGGTTAATGAGAATAATTTCTTACAATTGTGTATTGTTCAAGAGTGAGATAAACCAATGTTCAGTAGCATCTTTTAGGTGCCTGCATTTCCGTAGGGAAGCACCGCAGGACATTTTTTTAAGGAGCTTTTTTATTATGCTTGTGTTCTATGACGGTTGATCCAGAAGTAAGCTTCCGAAAGTGCTCCTGCCATACTGGGAGGTGCGAGGTAAAGCCTGACAACACTGTTGCGCCCGAGTGTTCCCCCACTCTTGATTCCCCCGGCAGCGTTTCGCTGCTCCGCTCATTCTAAGTTCATCAGCCGTCCAATACGGAGGTATCCACTCCTGATTTCGTCAAGTTCGAAATTCACGCTATCCGAAAGTGTTGCAGGGATATTAGTGCCGATCGGAATGAAGTCCACGTTGAAAAACGGAGTTGACGACCGTCAGTATGGAAGGAGGTTATCAAGCTGGCCCAACACAAAGTGGAGTAGGAGGATCAGCGTCCGTGAACTACAGAGAGTACCCTCTCAAACTGACAGTCGTCCACTCCGTTCTTCATCGTGGACTTCCTTCCGACCGACGCTAAACACCCTGAACCACTTTCGGACGTGTTGAACGGATATACACTTGGTGCGATACATCTGTCAACTAACAATGTATATCCACGCTTGGAGTCCCTTTGGCAAAAAGCGAGTTATGGTATGAACCTCGCACTTGGCGGGATCAAAAATGGAATGCTCCACATACCCGGTGTTTCAAATTCGACCACCACCATTGGGAGCTCGGAAACGGTAAGAAATAGGAAGTAGCTTAAATGAGGGCAAAGTTGCGTATTTAGGCAACTAACACAATGCCTCTTAAAAAGTTCTGAAAGTCTCAGCTTTTCTGAAAGAGACGGAAAAACCCATATTTTCCAAAAATCGTTTCAATTTTTTCCTGACTTCATTTGTAGTGGCATTTCAAAATAAATGGCTCGTCAACAATGTCACTCTTTCACCTCTACAAGCTGACATAATTAGAATTTCAAAATGACGTTTCATCTCTTCTTCTCCAGCATTAATTTTATTGTTCATAAGAACCTCATATTGGATTTTTACACATTTGAATAGAGTTTTTAATTCTGATTCCAAAAATGTATTACACGACATACGTTGACATTGCCGAACCTTAATAATTAAAAAAAGGTAGGCCTTGAAATTATCCGACAGTCATTTGTCTCGCATATCAGATTTATCGAAAAATCATTTTTATTTTTTCCAGACTTCATTTGAGATAGGATTTCAAAACAAATTGCATGTTGTCACTGCCACTTATTTTCCCTTACAAGATACCGTAGTCAAATTTTCAGTTCGAGGATTCTTCTTTCGGCTTCCATCACCAACTTTATTACATGTGGGCGCTATATTGTAATTTTGTTTATTTGAATTGACGTTTCAGCCCTAAATTCAGTAATATATTTCTTTAGTTGGCCATGAAAAAGGTATGGTAAAGGGTCGTATAGATTCTCCAAATTTGGGTGAAAATCCCTCAATTTGGCCTCGCACCTTTCAGTATGGCTGAAACTTTTTGGGAACCCTATTTCTGAATTAATCCTCGTATATGCATACAAGAGTTTAATTAGGATTCTAGGACACCCTGTATACGAGTAGCTTAGCGGCAGGGCGATGCCGAGGCAATATTTTTTCTGACGCGTCGAAGCGCATGATTATGGGGTTCTGAGCCGATAGGCGACGGCATGCCTTAGCAATCCTCAGGTCCTGAGGTGTCAAGCTAGAGATACTGTCGTAAGCTGGCGAGACGTAAACACATGTGCCCTAATCCATGAAGGCGTATCAGTTTTATGTGTTATTCAACAGGGCCTGCCTCAATCCCCAAACAGAATAGCAAGCATAGTTTATTTTTATACCTCAATAAAAGTTGATTTAAGGTTTCACCTCTTACAAACAGATAAATAAGAAAGAGAAATTTTATGTTGAAAGATGCAAAGTTCTTATTAAAAAGACGTGGCACCTCAACGCGTAGGTTCTGCAACTTGAATCATCGTAAATGACAAGCAGTGTAACTTTTTGTTTAGATAGTGGTTTACCCCAGTCAAGTGGTCTTGAAAGTGACCGACACCTTCGAGAAAATACCGTAGTTCGTTCCCTTGCAGAACCTAAAACTAGTTTCTACACAAATTAGACCTCTGGAGGTTATGTTATCCAACCAAACGCATTGTTTCGGGCTTTCGTTTATCTCGCTTACTATAAACTGACAAGAGAAATTATTCATCATACATGTGTGTTCGATCTTCGTGGATTAAACATTCCACAGTCAGACGAAATGAAGTTGATGGATGGGAAAGTAGAAATTATTATTTCTGTTAACCATTTTTTATCATTTTGTACCATTTATATTGTGAAGATAGACTTTTTTATGAAAACTCTTAACATGTTTTTTAGATTTTACAGAACGGATCGGTTTTTAAAGACATGTAAAAAATGATTAGGAGAGAATCAATCCTCGCAATATAAACTATAGGAAACAATAAAAAATATATATCATTTACTTCACAGCCCCAAAACTTTTTCTGGATAAGCAATTTCTTATGAATTAGCTAACAAAAATCCGAGATACATTTATAATGAATAATTCTTTCCTATTTATTTTTTTTTTGAGATCCTATGCATACTTCCTCTCTAAGCAGACCCATTTCAGTGGAGTTGCTACAAAGCTATGTCTCAATAATGAAGAGGTCTCACACAAAATATCGTTAATAAACTTTTAGTTAGTTTTATTTTATGAGCACTTATCTTTTCATGATCATATTTCTAAGGTTGATCAAAGATCTTTTGCTAAACATAAAAACATCTACAGCTTTAAGCATGTGCTTTCTCAAGATACCAAAATTAGGCTAAACGATTCAGCCTTTTTAAGTAAAATAGAATATGGGAGTTTGTTTGGTCCTTGTTTGACTGAAGCTGAAGCTTGGGTTCAGAAAGTACAAAACAGCTGTATTGATAATTCTGTTGGAATCCGAAGAAAAGAACGAGTGTCTCCAATTAATCAACAGGTGAAATGGTTGACGATGAGACAGAGGTGGGTGGTTTACACTTTATGCTTGCTACATAGCATTTTATTGATCGATTACCCCACATATTTAAATGGCATGTCTTTGAGAAGTCAACGGCATGCGACAGACATCCGTTTCGTTGGTTACATCCTTAACATGCCCTCCCATAGAACCACCCTATTTACTAAGAGTTTCTCTTTTGCCCTATCTCTATTACAACATCCATGTCACCTGCAAAGTTTTATCAGTGCCACATTTTAAGACGAAAGTGAAAAACTTTGTTTCTGAAAATCTGTCACAATTATTTATATATATATATATATATATATATATATATATCCATGTTAACTGTAACTATATCAATGTTTTCGGTCGAAATTGACATTTTTCCTATTTTTATTCTACTTACTTTTTTTGAAACAACAGTATACTAGTTCTCAATCTCCACATGTTAATTTTAGCATCTTAGTGTTTGTTGGGAGTTTTTCTAAATAGGTTTATATTCACATTGTTTATATTCACAAATGCATGAACTTTGTATTGTAATTTTGTATGGCACTGGTTGGTATGCAAACCAGCTTTTAACTGGTGCCCGCCAGGTTAAATAAAGGCTATTATTATTATTGTTATTACTAACGGCTATAAGCAAAAAGAACCAAAAAGCTACAATTGTTTAATAAATACAATCTCAAAAAGTGTAAATCGTATGGAAAATGTGGCTTAAGGAGCAGTCAATAATCCTCTTTCAGACTTAAACAAGGGCCCGACTACGAAATTCTGGTTCTTGGATAAATAGTAAATAGTTCGGCACGGGTATTGCGTGTACGTACGTATTAGTTGTAGGTGTTGCCTAATCGTCATGAGGCTTCAGCTATCAATGTTTGGCTCTGATGTGATGTAAAATGCTTCCGAGATGGCATTACTGGTGGTCTAAACTGTAAGTTGTATGTGTTGATGATACCTAATTACATTGGATTCTTGTCTCAATACACTTACTTGAGATTCAAAGCTAGAAATTAGTTGCGCATCCACTTTTTCTTATCCATCCTGGGAATTACATATACAAATTTGCTGAATTTTGAAAATAAGAGAAATAAATAATTAAATTCACTGTGCTCTGTCGAATTACAAACCATATACATGCTAACAGTAATTACACACAAAGCGGGCGCGGTGGTGATTTCCCGTAATTCTCCTCAAAAGTTTTCCGTAATTTATAACTTTCAACATAACCTCTCTTTAGAAAGCACCACACAAACAACTCGTCGGGCTCAGCTAATAGATATACTCCATTGACAGCATATTCAGTAATGCTTTTCTCACACAGCAAATATCACCGATTTTATACACATGCAGACGAATACACATAATCATCCAGATGCGATTTTGCATTTCAACCCACTTTTTTCTCGGGGATGAAAACTACAGACCACTCGGCTTCACAAAACGTACGCAACCAACAATGCGTGTAGTTTAGTTGAGTCGTTCCTCCATAGAT